GACCGAGGTCATCCTCAACCCGGGACACGCCACCGCCTACCGGGTCGACCCGGTCGCCTAGAGCGTCCGCCGCCCGTTCATGTCGCTAGTCTGTCTCTGGAGTCAGCCGTCCGTGCGGTGGGCGGCGGTCAGTGCGAGTCGCTCCGGCTGCGGCCGTCAGCGGACGAGCAAGTGGGCCGGCAGGCCGCCGCGGCGCCGGCGCCGTGTGATCGCCGGCGTCGCAGCGCGGTGGCCGCTGGCCACAGTGCCCGTCCCGGCCGGAGCGGCTCGATCAGGACCGCCCGACACACACGGACAGGGTGCACCTTCGACATTGACCACTCTGAGATGATCCCATAACCCATTCGCATGATTTTTCGTTAAAATGCATTATTTTGAATACATAATGTCATCGAAAAAAGTTTTAGTAAGAAAGTGGGATTATAAAAGACGTATACAACAAAATGGTAACAGAAAAAGAGTTCGGCGATGAAAAAGAAACACAAAATATTTTCAATAAAATACTTCCTGTAAATAATCATACAAGCATCTGAAAATCAATAATGCTCATTGAAACGAGTACAGTTGAGAGAGATTGTCTGGGAAAGCATGGGCTTGCTGTGGTTAACATCCAAGGCTGCCAAGTCCCAAAAGCTCAGCCGGAGCCAGCAAGGATGTCGGGTTTGCGTTTGCTACCAGACCATCGCAATACTGTTCTAGCACGATCGCGGGATGGTGGCTATTCATGAGCAAAACATAACCCTAGAGAAATATAACTCCATTGCAGAGCTGTGCCAAAAGCTCAAAAGAATATTAGGTACTGCTTCAGCGTCCAGCAGCAGGACTTTAAATCCTTATCTCGATAATATAAAGTGTCAAAAGAATGCACACGCAATTGAAGGAATGCAACAGTTACAGAAATTTGCATACCTTCTTGAACAGTTCTTTCAAATGTCCACTAGGAACCGAAAGATAAAGAACCTCTTCTATTTGTTGGGTAGCCCTTCGAGCCCTTCTACCCCGTAGTTGACTGGTCTTGATGCATCTACTGTTAACGCCAGACCTCTTGAGACCCTAATTTTTCGCGATTATTTTTAAATGCATGGAAGAATTTCAACCAAGCTCAGGACATGGCCGTTTCAAGACCTGCCGAAACTTTTACAATTTAGATATTTTGTCGCCATTTCAATATTTCAGGTACTTCTCATTGATTCGTAATGTTAAATTTCGAGCAAGATTTTCACCCGGCGTGTAGACTGTAGAGGCTATCACCAGTCAGTCTGTGATACGTTATGACGTCACAGCTAAGCCCCGCCTCTGTGGTCTTGGCCTGCGGCGGTTTCGGGCCGGCGCGGGGTCACTCGCGCTGTGGCGGGGAGCGGGGACGGTCGAGCGGTGCCGAAAGCCGGCGGAGTTGTGCGTAAAGTCTTGTCTGACAGTGCCCAAAGAGCGACATGATGACCGAGGAGCCATAAATGCTCAATGCGCATTGCTTGTACAATGCTGATATGTTCGCTGATTTATTTTTATTTTTTTATAGGTAAGCTGCAAATGACGGGCAGATGGCATATAACTGACATAAGGTTAGGAAATATTCACCTGTATTTAAAGCCTTTGGCGTTGCAGATAATGCGATAATGGGATATTTGTTTTGTTTTGTTTTGTTGGGTTAGGCCCTTTCGGTCTGACAAGACCATTGCAGAGCCGGAAGGATGATAGGAATTAGGGGGAGACATTGGTCTGGGCAGGCACCCTAGTGAGTCGCCGGGGCTGAGCCCGTCCAGAGGACAGGCCACCCAGCCCCAAGGCACTCACTGCACCCGGCTACGGGGTGCGCTCCCTCGGGAGCAGCGGTGCCGCTCCAAGGGAGCAGCCCGCATGAGATAAAGTTGCCTGTCCAGCCCGGAGGGGGGTTGTGGCGTGGAGGAGAAGGATTTCAGTATCCTGAGGACAGAAGCACGGATAGGTGATATTGGGATATCGGATGTCATCAAGTAGCTCCTGATTTGTACAGTCCACAGCAGAAGTAATGTGGGGTTTCAGTCATGGGTATGTTCTGCTTCTGAAGCTTAGGAACGATTAGCCAGACTACAATGAAACTTTGAATGTAGCTTATATGTACCGTCACCTTTGCAGCTGCAACTTTAGCTATTGACATCTTCTTTTCGATCACTCCGCATTAAACAATCGCCAGTCAAAGCCAACCGTTGAGATTGGTAAAACCCTACATTACTTTAGCGGTGGGCTGTACATCGCTATGCACCCATCGACCAGCGCAATAATTAGCTAATTGCCTTCGCTTCACATCATAAGGCTCGCTCGTACCTATTTCACCAAACAGATATCCTACATCGAAAATCATATTTGTTAGGAATCCTTAACGTTTTTTTCGAAGCATGTGTGAGTAGTAGATGGAGGAGTGATGGCCCTCTTGGTCCCATATACCTACAAGAGTCAACAACAGCCTAACATTTACTTGACGGTCTGCTGCTATTGATTCATAGCACGTGAAACGTCAGCGAAATTCATAGTCCTTTACAGATGGCAGGGGTGTCATTTGTACAGAGGTCGCTGATGGGCACGGGTCAATGCCGCGTCGTGGGCGGAGCCTAATGTCATATGACGTATGAAAGCCTCTATCCAGGATGGAAAAACAGTTAACATTACGAGTCAATGACAAGTGCCACAAATATTTAAGTGACAACAAAATGTATTTGAAGAAAAAGTTTCGGCAGGTCTTGAAACAGCTATTTCCTAAATATGGTTGAAATTATTCCGCGCGTTTTAAAACAATCGCGAAAAATTAGGGTCTCAAGGCGTCTGGGGTTAACAGTAGGTGATCGTAGTGTGTACGTACCACGTGAAAAGTCAAGGGTGTTTAAGTTGTTCTCCTAAATTTACGCTTTCGAGAAGCAACATCCGGGTTGATTGATTTGCGGCCGTTTTTGTAGGATAACTTCAAACCTTCTTCCAAGCATCGGACTACTCTCGATGCATGTGAGTGACGACCACTGCACATGCCACTTGCAAAAAGAGGGGGTATCAAGTTTGTGCCCATTGCAATAACTCGGCAATTACTGGGCCGCTTACGCTGAAACTTCGCATGTCGGTAGGCAATGCATTTCCATGTGCCAAAGTTGGGGTGCTACTGCACGTGCGGGACCGTTTCCAGACCTCCCGGGTCGATTGCGCTCATATTTGGTACACGTCCACGGTTAGGGACCAGCGAGTAGGGTGCCGGACAGAAGTCAGTTGGAACAGAATTTGCACGTACACACGTGCAAGGTGACGCTTCCACATCTCGAGAACGGCTGGGCCGATGGCGCCAAAATTTGGTACACCGTTAGCGACCAGCATACATAGTATGGTGCTCCACACAAGTATGTTGAGAGTATCCATTCGCACTCGCGCACGCGCAGGACTCACATTTGCGCCCGCTCGTTTGTCGCCCCAAAAGGCGCGTTACTGGTTTGCTTCCAGTATGTGGGTATCCTAAAAATTTGCATCAATGACGTATGCATGCGTAAAAAGGGTATCAACATTGTGATAAAACGTCTCCGGTTGACCAGTACCAGCCAGCACCCCCTCCCCCTCTACCCACCCGGTACCCGTCCTCAGTGACGTCACCCCCAGCCGTTCGCCCGCGGACATCCGCAATCCGGAGCACGCGTCGGTAGGGGGGGGGGAGGGGGCGTCTGCGGCAGAGGGTCCGGCGAGGCGGCCAGGATGGCCCTGCCGCGGGCGTGGGAGCGGCCGCGGCAGGGCCACGCCCCGGCAGTCCGGCGGCCCCATCTCATGGTCGTCCGCCGGCGCGGTCCGATCGGACAGCCGGCTGGCTGACGGCCGTTCGACAAAGGGGAGGGACGGGACGGGACGGGAGGGAGGGGTGCATAGGGGGGGGGGGGGTAGCAGACCATTTCTTGCGGCCCGTCCTCATATCGTTCTGATCAAAATGGTGATCAGAGCTGGTCATTGACAGTCTCGAGGAATACGCGACTTGACTACTGATAAACTAGGCACAAGACTGCATTCTTCTCTCCAAGAAGCCTTCCATCAGATAAAGTATACGCCATACGGCTACTGTAATTGAACTACTTCAACCAACTAAAAAAGGCCATCACTAGCGGAAGTGACCCAAGATGCGTCAAATGTAACGCGGATGGCAAAAGTCACCGATGGCACTTTTCACATTGCCCGTCGAACAATTTGATGGCAGTTTGAAGCCACAAAGAACACATTGCTTCTAGATAAATGGAGACGAAGAAACAAATGCAACATCTATAGAAGCGCATGTGCGTGCGGCATAAGTAGAAAAGAACAGATGAAAGTGATCCAGCCTACTCTATGGAAAGCGAAAGTCGAAAAACAGCAGGATTCAGAGGAATGGAAGAGGACACCGACAATCTGAAGCTTCTGGTTAAAGGGATGTTCCATACTTTAAGGTGTCAAGTTTCACCATTTGGGAAAGGCATAAAATGACGTGACGATAACGTGCAGATGCGCCCGCTTGTTTTCAAGCGGGCGCATCATTTCTGAAAACCACAGCACTTTCTTCGCGTTCGCTCTTCGTATTAGCAGCCTCACTGGCGCCAAGAGCCATACTGAGTGTATGTAAGAGCATGTGTATTGTGTATGTTTGATAAAATGTATTAGTTCGCCACTGACAATGCATGATACTTTCGTTGCATGGGCATGCGATAATTCCTAGGCGGGTAAAAAGTGAATCTAGAGAATTTCCGAGTCGAGATGACTGCTATTTTAGTCTATGAACCCACCAGCCCATCCAGGCATACCCGTCGCCTTGCCCTACTACTCCGTCATATCCCTCTAACCTACCCGTTCTATGGCCCACGCCTGTCGCCGCCTCACCGTTCAATCCCTCGCCCCTAGCCCCTTGCCGTCCATCCCATCCCCTCGCCCCTACTCTGCTCTCTGTCCCTCGCCCTACTACTGTTTGTCCCTCGCCGTCCCACCGCTCTATCCCGCGCCCCTGCCGGCGGCCGGTGCGGCGCGCCACTGACCTTTGTGCTCTTCTCCGGCTCCTTTAGGCGTCACACCGCCGGCCTTAGCGTGGATAATGCCGCCCATGGTCTCGGCTCCCTCCTTCACCCGCGCCAGAATGCCTGACACCACGGGACGACACCAGCGTTAGGCAGGACACGGACCGTGTAAGGACGCTGTGAGTGGCACCAAATGTTGCAGCTACAGCAGGGAACGACAGAGGAAACGTGTCGGAATGGCATATTGGCGCTGATCGCGGCTGTTCTAATGTTTGTTTTAAAGCCATTCTCAAAATAAGATCGAAATTATGTTACGCAATAAAGTCGAGGTAAACAACAAAATTCTGTTCACTCTAAATAACAAATCATGGAATGTGAAACATGAATTTTGCTATGCTGACTTAGCAAAACCCAGAAGAAGGAAAAATGTCAGACTCAGAATATTTAAAAAATGAAACGTTTCGTACTACTCAAAGAGCAACTTTTAAAATATTTCCCAAAGCTAGTTACAAATTTATAATCCAATAATTAACCTGCTTACCTTTCAAGTAAAATAGCCATAAAAAGATAGCTCGTCAGGATTGTCATCAATACTAAGCTAACGAAGCAAAAATCCCAATTTATCCAGGGGTTATGTATGTACTCCCTTTTCAATTCCCCTTTCTATTCGTTCGTTGGTGGGTAGGACATGCGGTGCGGTGCTTCGAACTCGGCTACAGCGTGTGAGATCGCTCTAAACGGATCCAAGTACGGGGTACGAGTTAAGGGTACGCGGAAGGGTCAGGGGTACGGGTTACGGGGTAAGGGTACGGGTTACGGGGAGCAGACGGCCGCTTACTGACCCGCCGCGTCCGGGTTGTCCTCCATTTCGTGTTTGATTTTCTCCTCTAGCTTGGTACGTGCCACCTGAGCTCGTGACTTGAGTTTCCGCAGGTCCTCTGAGGCCGGTGCGGCGGCGCACGAGACGAGGCGCGATTGAGAGCGAGGAGCAGGCGGAGAGACAAGCGTAGAAGACGGGCAGACAGTGAGACAGGGCGGAGACAACGCGGAGACAATGCCGAGACAGCGGAGACAGAGAGACACATATAGCGACACATAACCATTTATAGGAGGCGCAGAAGCGACAGGCGCTTCGAATAGGCCTTCAGTTATCGAGAGAAAATGTGCGACTCTTTACCGTCGTTGTTTAGCAGTGCAAAGTGACGATTGTGAAGACAGAAATTGTCTAAAATGTGGTTGTGCAAGCAAGTAACGCTGCTTTCAGTGCATCTCTGAGCAATAATTTCACGCGCCAAAAATACTTCGACGTGCCTATAGCATGGACTGAAGTGGCAGCGTAGTTGCTGGAAGCATCAACTGGCTTGATGCCTAACATAAAAAATGGAGCTTTGCAAAACGGTTCGTGATGAGCAGTAGCGAAAAACGCTGTGGCAGAGCGCCATCCGTGTGATAGCCGTCGGTTGTTTTAAGCCAGTGAGGTGCGCGCGGTGCTGGTGGTGTAGCAAAGCCAGCGTGTGGGTGCAGTGACACAACAGGCACACACAGGGTGATGCGGAGGGAGGGGTTACCCCAGGGGGTGGGCGACTTACCGCTGCCCTCGGCGCGCTCCTTCAGCTGGTCGCGGATGGCCTCACTCTGCTCCTTCAGCTCCTTCATCCGAGACAGATAGCCTGGAGAGAACACGACGGACGGAGGGTCAGTGAGGGAGAGTCGGTCCGACGGAATAGTGCGGCTCAAACGGACCACACTAGCCGGAGAGCTATCGATGACACGTAACCGCAAGCGTGTAGCATAACCCATAAAAAAATCAAATATTGACGGGCATTTAAGTGTTATAGCGATAAGTATGTCTCCTGAATCATTTGCAAATAGATGAAACATCAGTTGCAAAGTTCTGTCAATAGTCCCTCTGCAAGCTCCAAGAAAAACGAAGCATTGCATAAAACAAGAGCATCGTTAAAACAGGGCTCTTTGTTATGTCAAGAGCTCATGCAGCGAACATCAGGCGACCAGAGTATCTGGCGGCTCTCTTGGGTTTAACATGGAATAGCTGGGTTAGTTTTTGCATGGACGGCCTAGATGGCGGGCCTTGAGCATTTTCCACATTGTTGCAATGCATGTATAACGTATAGTACGGTGAGCCTGTAGCGGGAAACATCGTCATACACACAGAAAGCAGTGATCTGGAAATGTTATAAATCATTGATGACCGGAGACCTGCACAGTGCACACTAACCCCGCGTTCGATGTCTCCCGGACGACGAAGATTCTATGCCGTCCGGGCCCAAAATGCCGTTCGATGTCGCACGGACGGCAAAGATTCTACGTGACGTCACGTAGAATCTTTGCCGTCCGCGCAGAATCTTTTGAGCGTACTACGGTGGGCAGAGAGGCAATGATGGCGCGTATTTCAAAAGCGGCGCAGCAGCTGTTTGCAGAAGTTGTTGACATTTGTGCGTGGTTTCTATGGAAACGTAAACTTGGGCCTTTTCCGAAACTGACGCACATTGTGTAAGTGGCGCACAAAATGGCCGGTCTCGTCGTCCGACTGTGTGCTTCATCGAACGCAAAATAGAATATTCTGCGTAGAATGTTCTTCGTCCGAGGAGACATCGAACGCGGCCTTAGTCTACTGTCGTAATGCATGTGTGCACATATAATAAATGTCATGGAGCAGTCACGCAAACAAAATAAAACTGCACTCAATTATGTATGTGCAATGTGCATCGCTTCATCAAACAACACAGCATTCCAACAAGCTACGCGGCATGCTTAAACAATGCAAGCAAATAAGCAAAACACAACAAAATGAGCACACCGAAACACAAAATAATCACTCTAAAAAGAACAAATAAACCAAACGCCTCCCCAATCCCCTCTCAGCTATCAAAAATACTGCAGTGTCCCGGCCGTGTCTATGAAGTCACCTCGACATCGTGCCAAGTACGCTGCAACAGACGCATTCGCTGACACGTGCCGGCCGTGGGTGCCCTCACGGGCCACACACGCAGACAGACACACACACAGACACGAGACGCGGCTAGGTGGTGCAGTGGTGGCGACTATTGTCCTCACCGCGCGTGTCCTTGTCCTTCAGACGCTTCTCCATGTCCCCAGCCTTGTTTTTGACGCGGCCGAAGAACTCTGCCGTCACGACGCCGGTCACAGCGAGGTTCGACGAGGACACAAATAGCGGACACGGACTCGGACACACGAATAGACACAGACACGAATGGACGCGGATGCAGACACAAGGCGTAAGCACTGGGGCGAAGACGGTTTTGAACAGTAAGGCGGACATGAAAAAAGAATTTAATCAGCGGACATGGACCCAGATATGGACGTGAATATGGACGTAAGCAGACATAGCACACGGACACGAACAATGACACGGATAACCGACAATGAGCAATGAGACGAGAGAAAGTAGAGTGAGTAATCTGCCTTATTTGTGGCGCATAAGGGAAAGTGACTGAAGCAATGATCATCAGCAGATCAGCCTAACTTCACACTTGTAGCCTTCTAGTTACTCCTGATTCTCCTTCAAACCACCCGCCGCGCGTACCTGTGATCTTCTGCTGTGCGTCTGGCGACTCGGACTGCGTCAGCTGCAGCACGCGCTGGTACTCGGACAGCTGAATGAGGCCGTGCTCCTCCAGCTGTTCGGTGGTCATCTGACTGTACGCCTCTGTCAGAAGGTCCACTGGAGAGCGCGGACAGAGAGAACCGCCCCGCACCCACCGGTCACCGCAGGCCAGACAGCGTCACACCGGTCACCGCAGAGCAGACACCGGTTACCGAGCGGTGACGTTTCACCGTCCTTCACCGGCCATCGGGCAGGCACGGTGCGGCGACCGGTCACCATCAGCAGTGGCCGTCACCGGGTGGTGATAGTTATACGGCACCGGTCACCGCCCGCCGCAGGCGCACCGCAGCCAGCCACAGAGATGAGAGATGCAAATTGTTTTCAAGTGCACTCAGATTAGTTGATTATTTTCGTGCCTAATGTTTTATATGTAAAATGGAAATGTTTGAAAAGCTTTGCGCTCTTATATCATGACGATGTTGAGAGTTTAAGCAGTGTTTATTTTCATAGCTCATCTCTGTAGCTGTATTCCACAAGAAGCAAACACGCATTCCACCACCCCAACAGGCAACCACAAGAATTAGCAAGAAGGATATTACATCGCCGGTATGCGAAAATCCTACACATATATGCACCATGACAGGCATTTATGGAGATGGAAGCGGAATGTTTGACACGGTCTGCATATTCTGCTTTGGCACCGTAACTTAGTTGCGTGGGATGTCCAAAAAATGAGTTGGTTCCGTTAGTAGCTCGGATCACGGGTAGGGTCGGCCGACGATAGGGCTTACAGTAATGAGAGGCTCCGTTAAGTGTATAAATTTATCATTGAATTCTAAGTTCCCCGACCAGCTGGAGTGTACCGAATGGAAGAAGGTCTGAAAGGGACTTTCCTCGAATTAAGCACCACCGTCGGTGACGGCTCTACGAGTGACTAAATCAGTTCAAAGGAATTACAAATTACTTAAGGAGGAAGGGCCTAAAAGGATACCACAGAATAGCAATATGCACCAGGCACCATCCACAACCCCACAAAGCGTCTTTCCACAGCACCCCCAGCGCGTACACTGCAACATTCACCCACCCAAGCCCCATCCCCGGCACCCGGCCGCGCGGCAGGCACTCCTCCCCGACCGTCCACTCACCGATCAGTGACTCTATGTCGAAGAACAGCACGTGCGCGTCCGGATCGGAGGGGCTGGTGCGCAGGCCCTGCACCATCAGGGAGTAGGCGCGCGGCTTGTCCGGTCCGTTCTGACCCTGGTTACCGAGCGAGTTCTGCAGCTGCTGCAACCCGCGCTGTGGACGCCAGATGGAAAGCGGAAGGGTGGGGTTCAGTCGGGAAAGGAGCGGTGTGGTAGTGACTTCCGTTCAGTCACCTGGGGACTGGAGTATATCTACGGCATTATTTTGTGCTTAAACTCAATAGTATCATACTTATCTGCGAGCGTACAACGCAAAGCACACATGTAACTAAACGTTTTCATACTCTCAACTGCTCGAAATTTTAAGCAATATCTGCAAAAGTGCCATCCTCAAAAAACATCCCAAGCCAATCACACACTCCACTCACTTACTCTCTTCCAACAAACAACCGTACCATCCATTGCCATCGATCACCAGTTTGCCTATGTCATACAGCCAAGGAAGGCATTTCACTTCCCTATATTAGCTACGTAACATAAAGCCCACAAGCCGGTGCCGATAGCCGGGTCTCACCTTGGCTGCGTGCCGGATGGCCGACAGGTTTCTGTGCCGGAGGCCGCGGAAAAAGTGCACCGCCGGATTGGCCATGCCGCCCTCGCTGGTGGAGACGGTCATGTGCTCGTCGCAAGCGGACAGCACCTCCTGGGCGGTGGTACCGTGCACCACCCGGTCCAGGTGGCCTGCAACACGCGCCAGCCCGAGATGTCATCAGGAGAGATTGGAGGAGAGGGTTCTTCATCTGCATTGCTGTCCCAACTACCATCCTTTGCCGTCCATATCCCCGCCCTACCCGCCTCCGTCCGCCACACAACTTCACTGCCATCCCCTATAATACACCACTCTAACGATCATCCCATCTCCTCCAAAAGTGGTTCCCTAAATAATCACACCTACCTGTTTCCATCTGCTATAGACGGACACACTGACACTCCCCAAAAACCATTCCCGCCCCAGTCCCATTATCTATAGCTCATCCTCAACCCGCTACTGTCCGCTCTAATCCCGTTCGTACCTGTTTCCATCTGCCAGACGGAGACACTGCCATCTTCTGTAGCCACCACGAGGAAATCGTCCAGCGGCCGCCACTTGACCGTGGTGACGGGAAACAGGTGCCGCGAGGCCAGCATCAGACACTTGCGCTCCTTGAGCGAGAGGAGGGCCACCGAGTAGTCGGCCGCCACACTGCAGATGCACTGCTGCATTCGCGGCTGGGGGGAGGGGGGCGAGAGGGGAGGGTTAGAGCCCGAACACGAGACAGGTTAGAGGTCAGATCACGGCATCATGGATCAGAAGTCAGGACTGACATTCGTATGACATCTGGGAAAGTCGATATATGATACAGCCAGTTGCAGCTAAGCTTACTAAAAAGAAACGCTATTATTATTATTATTCGCATTAGTCTGCACTCTATGAGCATTGACTTCTGACAATTTAGAGCTAATCATAGCCAAAAAGTTCATAAATTTAACCATGATACCAGTCCATATCATCCAACAATGCATCCACTAGTGACCTATCTCAGCGGCCACTCCTTTCCCTCCCCTCACCGAGACGCTCTCCGGCGGCACGTGCAGCTGCAGCACGATACCCGCCTGGACGACGAACCGGTGCAGCAGGGCGCCATTTATCAGGTCCCACAGACACACGGAGAAGTCCTCTCCGCCCGAGACCAGGTGGGAGATCTGGTACCGCGAGTGGCTCAGGTGGGGGAACAGAAGAGCGGTGACCGGGCCGCGGTGGCCAGACAGGATCTGGTGCACCGGCCAGTCTGGAGGAGAGGGGGGGGGGGGTCAGCTGGCACTGACAGGCGGTGGGTGTAGAGCGGAGGGCGAAATAGACCAGCGAGTAATGCTAAGGGTTAGAAATCATTTCTTTTCGAGAGACAACAGCGCGAGTCTGTTATAAGCCAAAGCTGAAAGATGAACGTACTAACAATGTCATTAATCATCATTCTTTATCACTTACAATTTCCGCAAGAAACACCGAGGTTTGAACTAATTTATATTCATGCAATTGAGAGTTGTCACATATTTTGTGGTGTTTTCTGTTACTGACTGTAACAGATCTGGTGTATCTCTGGCGCTTCCCGTTAGTGATAAACATAGCTCTAATGTTCCCCGTTCCTGACCTGCCACACTAATACGTTTTCCGTTACTGTTACGGCCCCATGTCTAGCTCATTCTGCGGAGCTCTGCCACAAAACCCCGTCACTGACTGTCGTAGCTCTGGTGTTTGCCGTGCAGCAGATGCAGCATGACGGTGTGAGTGGCCGACACGATGATGATGGTGCCGTCCTCCCTGCCGCAGACCAGGCGGCCCTCCTGCAGCGGCAGGTAGATGCTGGAGGTGAGACGCGGCGCGCCGCCCTCAGCAGACTCCTGAAACGGACGGAGAGGGAGTGTTAGTAACGGGTGGAACGGAGCCCTTCCGCAGACTCCTCCGACAGACGAATAGATAAGTGTAGTATGGGGTGAAACAGGAGTCATCCGCTCTCCTGGAGCAAAGGGAGAGTTCACATATTCATAACGGGCGGAACCGAAGACTCACACCAAACATATTGTGTCCGCCTCGTAAGCATTGGAGCACAAACTAGTTTCCGAAAAAAGCACGTCTATGCACAATGAAAAACACTCAGAAACGATGTAGCATCATCCTAGTGTTAGTATATTCTTTCCTTCTAGACCGGCGTCAACAGGATTCTAACTCACCAGTTGGTCCAGTATTCCGACCGGCTGCGGTTTCATGGTCCGCCAGGCGCGCTCGATGCTCCATAGAACGGTGGGCGGCAGCTCTGCTGAGGAGAACGGGCCACAAGGCCTCGCTACGGTGAGACAATCATAGGCACATTAGCTACACAGTCGGTGATATGCTTGACAGGAAAATTCAGATGTAGGGGCGGTGTTTATTCATCAGCGAAGGCAAATCTCCTGAAGCGAGATTTTCGACAAATAGTAATAACAAAATTATATACAATGGCTCGCTCCACTGCCAAGAGCTCAATGAATCGATAAGGAGTTTGATTAACACTTGACACACGCCATGGCCTTTTTTTGTGACAATGGTGCCACTCTCCACCCCTGCTGCTGTTTTCTCCCAGAAACCAAGAAATAAGTGTTTGCTACCTACCCGGCGACTGGTACTCCCCGTGCTGCTCCATCAGCTGCTGTATATGCGTGTTGGTGAGCTGCGGCAGCCTCCAGAGCGCCACCTGGCCCAGACAGTCGCCCCGCACCAGCACCTGCTGACCGGGCTCGCCCACCAGCTCTGTGTGGATGCTCACCGGCGGACAAAACAGCTCCTGGGGGCGGACGGTCGTGACAGCACTCTACAAAGGGGCATTGGATAAACAACAGTAGTCAGAGCAGCTGCTTCTGGAGACGGACGGCGGGAGGGGCCGGTTGGAGCTAGGGATTTACAGTACGAGGGGCGTTCAAAAAGTTCTCGGCCCGACCATGAAGGAGCAGAGATACGATGCCAACTTATTAGACCAAACATGTTCATTTAGTCAAATAACCAGCGTTAAGACAAAAACATTTCGCGCAGCGCTTCGCGAGAGGCCCCTGGGCCTCCATAGCCAAGTGGGTTTTGGACGCATCTGGCACGTCCAAGACGGCTGCTTTTGTCTCCTTGCTGTCAGCGAAGTTGCCACTGCTAAGCAATTTCCTTATGTTGCTGAAGAGGTGGCAACCTGAGGGTGCAAGGTACGGAGAGAAAAGTGGCTGTGACAACAACTCGAGGCTAGAGCTCACTGCTTCGCTGATCG